ACACATTGGACTTCAATTGGCCAGGAAATGCAACCGCGGACTCTCAACTTAAGTTTAGGGTAAGTGAGCAAGTTGTTTATCTAACCATGCTCAGTCTCACCAATTTCATGCCTTTGAGGCCTGTGAAAGGTACTCCGGTGGTTGACTTGATCGAACGCTTTAGATAGGTCCAGCTAGATGAGGTGGACTCCTACTTTGGCATCCACTTACTCTCTCCCGTTTGCTCAAGGTAATAGCAAATCTGTTGAGCAGTGAAATCCAAGCTGCTGTGTTACTATGATGTGGCTGCCCTCAAAGTATTCTGTCGGCGGATGTGCGGTAACACCCACTATTATTTGGATAGCATCAGGAGAAGAATGACTGCACGGTCAACATTTCTTTAGAACTGCACTCAAGTTGCGTGAAATCCTAAGCCATCAACAGGTTCCTTTGTATTTTATTGCTGGCATACTGTGTGAAACTGGAGCACCATGAAAACACAAGTCTGTAGATTGGAGGTAAGTGACATCATGAATGTATAAGCCACCAGAGTGATAGGTCGAACGATGGTTGACGAGCACTGAACAAGTAACCTCGCGTTGGACATGAAGCTTATCCAGCTTTTCTGCATATTAGAACCTGCATCTCATCAATACTCCTTTGATTCAACCACTTTCCACTATATTCATGATGACAATCTCCAATGCATTTATTGAAGGTACTCTGCCACAGTGGAACTTCACTCGATTTCGTACACGCAAAGAAATCAATTGGCGTGGCTATACAAGTGTGTGGACATGCTCTGCATGTATAAAGCTCTTGATGACGGTCTAGAGAGAAGTACGAACGAAGTTCTGTGAAAGAGTGTTGGCCACCTTTGGTTTAGTATGCCAAAGCTTGCGTAATGTGAGCAGAGCGAAATGCTACACTGTACTCACTAGAGATTGTGAGCGATTTTATGGTCGCTCAACTCTGTGGCAGTAATCTATCTCAGGATTCCACTAAAGTTTTGACTCCATTTTAAGGACCAGTTTGATGCAGAATTGTAGATGGGTGTTACAGACACCGATCTTCTCGCTCATAGAAAATATGTGGGCACACCAAGTAGAATCCTACAAGATCTTACACTTCCGAATCCTGCTACTCGTGAAAGGATTCAAGTTTTCTACTGGATAAACTGTATTCCGATATACTCACCAATAGCTGTTTCGACTGGTTCACAAACTCTTTCGTTTCGACTTGAGTGGAGCGTTCAACATTAAGTAGGTCAATGAAGAACGAAGGACTTTAATAACGTGCAACTCTGACGAGTCCGTTTCTTAATTCATTTTGTTTCCAGGTAACGAAAAGAGCACCCGCTTTAGTGCATCATGTGAATTAATTAAATAATTAATTAATCAAAACGAAACCAAATTTTTGCTGTAACATCTCCATTGTTAAACGCGCAACCTTTGAAGCTCTTTTCACCTCAAATTAGTCCGCTCAACTGGTAATACAGCGTACCCAACGGTGCTTCCATATTTGCAAGGCCTCCTGGAATGCACTTTCTGGGATGGCGCGATAGTCTCTTGTCGTATTGTCTTGAATCTCCTCTATGGTTTGTAAATGACGCTCTTTCAACGTGGTTTTAAATTTGGAAAACCAAGAAGAGTCTGAAGCGAAAACTTCAGTACGATTAATGGGCACAACTGGAGTGTGATGTTATGCACCATAGCTGCGGACAGAGGGCGATACGTGAGCAGGCGCAGTGTCTAGATGCAACATCCAAGTTTTGTTTACTCACAGTTCAAGTATCTTCCTATGCACAGTCTCCCGTAAGCGCGCTGGTATTTGCTGGCGTGATACAACGCTGTTGGCTACTTCGTCAGTAACTTCTTAAAGAGTTTAACGACGATTTCCACCGATCACAGAAAAGACTCTCTCAACATGGCCATCGTCTGTTGCAGTGGAAGGTCGTCCAGACTTGGCATCTTCAAGTACCGACCTTCTACTGTGTTCGAAATACTTATGCCATTAATAGCACTGCGTGCGACTCATACAGTCCCCTCTTTATGATGGGCTAAAAAATTGAAATGTCTCTATACAAGTTTCGTCAAGTTTCTAGCATAATTTTACACACACGCCTTGTCCTTCAAGCTCTTTCATTGTATCTATGGCCTTTATCCGACGAACACCTTATGCACGTGCTCACTTCAGTGGCTGTAGCTTCTCAGTTAACAATCAGAGAGAAATGCGGTAAATGGATTTTTTCTATGCAAGCAACCATAGGCACTCAGTAGCCGCAGCGAGCTCCAACTGCCAGTTGCCAAGCTATTTCAAATGTTTGATTTCTTTTTAACCACCCCTCGTAATGCCCATTTTTAATACATTGACCATAGGTCCTTTGTCAGCTAGCACCTGGTCCATGTTAACTGGTATGTTCCCTGCGCTACATCGCATAAAATTAATAATTTGTTTGCAAATTGGCTATCCAGAATTTCATTTGCCGAAATTGGCTACTGTAACTTCTAAGTAATGTGGGTCACATCCTCCAGTGGGAGAAGTTGACTGAAATACTGTACATAATACCATCCATATGAGTACCTGGGCGACAGCCAAAATCTAAATTGTATTATACAATGTACACGTAAGCTATGAACTTTAGTTTTTTTTGTGTAGATTCGTCGCAGTTAGACACAGACAGACAGCCACCACCAATCCAGGAAAGCGCTAGACGGCCGTTTCGTCCTATTGCTGCTCGTCAGTAGCGCCCACCCACCGAATCCTGCTGGATTCGAACCCAAGACCTTACTATTGCGAGTCAGCGACTTATGCCACTGAGTCACGGGCGATGGCAGCGGACCGCTATGGCTGATATCTAACTGCGATATAGCGCGGCTCATCCTCCACTGTCTTGCATGTTATGCATGTGCAGAGGACAGGGCTGGCCCCCCAATAATGATAACAATAATACTTTATAATAAATCCCTCTGCTACTTACAAATAATCAGTAGTCGCCTTAGCAGCTTACATGTCACCTCGATTAGTGGCGGCATGCAAAGGAAGTCGTTGCTCTGGGGCCGGCCCTGTCCTCTGCACATTCATCACATGCAAGACAGTGGAAGATGAGCCGCGCTATATCGCAGTTAGATATCAGTCATGTTGGTCCGCTGCCGTCGCCCTTGGCTCAGTGACGTAAGTCGCTGACTCGCAAGAGTAAGGTCGTGGGTTCGAATCCGGCAGGATTCGGCGGGTACGCGCTACTGAAGAGTCCCAATAGGACGAAACGGCCGTCTAGTGCTTTCCTGGATTGGTGGTGGTGGTCTGTCTGTGTCTAACTGCGACGAATCTACACAAAAACCTAATAAATCCCCTACTACTTACAAATGAACTTAGTTTAATACGTCACGGCTTGGTATGACTACACAGCGAGTTGTTATGCTAAACTAGTAGGTTGATATGTGAGTCAAGATAGTGGTAAGGAATTACCCTATATACCTACTGGATTGCTTTGTGGATGAAAGATGACTACCAAGTAGTATGCTTTCACTATTAATGATACCATTAAGTAAAGGCACCGGTCAGCAGGATAAGTCCCAATGACTATGAGAATTGACCTCATTGGCGCTAGTTATGTTGAATACAAAAGAACGAGAGCTACGAAATAAAAGATGAGTGTCCAAAAACGCAAGTCTTAGACACGTAAACAGGCGTATCCTTGTTGTGACTGCTGGTGTTCGATTTTGCATGATTGGTGGTATGGGGACCTCAACCACACGAGGTTGGTTTGCATAACACCCTTGAGTCAACCGTCTATGAATATTAAACAATTGACATTGACTGTATAGGGGTTAAGAAGCAACGATTTGCAAACAAAAGTAGGCGGTCTGGCGAGGTTATCGAAAAAGGAATATGAAGAACGTAAAATTTTTACTGTTAATAGAAATAGATTTTCGTTTGTAATGCCGCAACCTTGCAATCTATGTGGCTTCATTTCATCAATGGGTGGCATGTAATAAATCCACTTTACTTGCAAAATGTAGGACGGAAAGAAAGCTCTAAGTAACAAAGCGTAAGTAGCTGAGCGCGCCGTCCAACCGTCCCGGTGCAGATACAGGAGCGCAAAAGAAATTCCTATGGCACTCCAGACGGCTGTAGTGTTCTGCAAGTTTCAACGAGCGAACTCCCAAGTTTAAATTGCTGCTGAGTTGCACTAAAGAGCGGCACATGTGTTTGGAGTTGTGTACAAGCAAGTACGCCAGTACCAAGTTGCCTTGTGAATGGCGTTACCTTCCACTTTGTTATCATGAGAGATTTAGCTATTCAATGATATATCTGCAAGTCCGACCTTGAGACTGTTCCAATGCTAGGAGATCGTGTTTTAGCCGTGGTCGCGGGCTTGAATTGCTTATTCGGCTAGGAGAGGAACAGCAAAAACTGTGCATCTGTCAGCAAATAGAGCTGTTTATTTGTTCGAACACCTGTCTAAATAGACCGGCGTGTTGGTTATCAGCTTACGATTACTGTTCGGTTTGTGTGGGATAGCCTTAATCATTCTGTAACAGTACGCCCAAATCGAATTCAACGGGAGTTCGCCTCCGTACTTGAGTTCTTAGCATGCAGGAGTAGGCAATCTGGTGTTGTCTGGAGAGTACCTTTCATTTGTTCACGTTTAATTTCGGTAGAAGTCCGATCAAACACTGTAGGTCAGGTCGAAGCAGATGCTGGTCAGCATTCACATGAATTCTACGCCATATATTGATAGCCTCGGCAAACTGTGGGAAATCTGAAGCGATTTCCTGTGCGACGTCATTAAAGCACATAAAAAACAATAACGGCCAAAGAGATGAGACTTGACACATAAGACAATTGAGTTGTATGGGCTTAGGTAAGGAGCTCTGACTTTTCGTTGTAAGATAGGAATCTGTTGGTGACGTTATAATTTTGTCAAGGTGCAATGGCCTTGGCCCTTAGGGTTTGCTTTAGTCAGTAAGCTTTTATGTGAGGTTTCCCTTCTCTCCCTATTATTCTGCGTCTTTTTATAGGTCAGGGTAACAAATCGGTAGCGAAGTATCGCTTCAAATGACTGATGTACTGCTGTCGTTGATGCTATCGTAGGCCCGCGGATTTTTGTGAAAATTTTTTCCAAATACATAGGAAGTGAAAAAACATACTTGGCGGACTACTTAAGAGGCCACTACGTGTCTGACCATAGACGCTCAAAATGTAGTTCTTGCAAAAATGCAGCAGCGTTATTCCCCCTAAACTTTAAGTTTATAGTTAGCAAATTCACGAGCTTTTCACATGTACTTTTTACTGTTTTAACCCAGATTTAAAGGCATCTAGGATTCAGACAATCCTGGGTGTCCCGGCCTTGAAAGAAAACGGATTTTTGTTTAAAACAGTAGCTATTGCAGCCAAACAAATAATACCAAAATTAAGGGCAAGAATTCTGCAAAGACTAAAGTTAATGACCGAAAGACAGACTAAAACAAATAGTTTGGTACCGGATAATCTTAAAAACATTATGGTAAATATGAAACAAAAACACTACAGTCACAAAAACCTAGTAAATCTAACCAAATATGGAATTTTGGCACATCCGAATCATGTCATCTTCACCCATTTCATCAGTCTGCCGATAATAGGGGTCCAAATTGACAATGCGCTGCAGCAGGTCTGGTTGTTTTGCCCCTTGTTCAGTAACTTTCAAAACATGAAAAATACACTTCAAGCACGTCAGTTTTATCAGCTTTGCTGGAACTCGATAACCCTTGCCTACGTACAAAAATCTTTCGTCCGGCATCACACGATCCATATGTGACAAGTTTTGCTGCAGTACACGCTGTGCCTTATTCCATTTTTTAGTGCATATGTAGTAGATTGAGAGGGCGTTGCGTGAAACCATCAAGCACTCATCTATGGGATTCAGTCTAATTTGCGCAATCTTCGACTCTCCGCTGTCACCGACAGTCGACGGAGACACGTCCGTGGTGCTCATGTCCAGGTCATCATTGATCAGCGATAAACTATTCGCATACACAATCATGAGGCTGGTTATAATTCCAATGGATTCATTGAGCAAAACTGGTACATCCGCCACGTCCCTGAAAGGAAAACGATGGTACCGGAGACGCTTTTGTTCCGCTTGTTGCTTGTTCATTAACAAGAGGGCCATATGGGTAAGCTGTCTTGCGACTGCAAGCTGAGATCCTGTTAGATCGATGGCATTGGGATCAGAGGCCAGCAGATCACGTCTAAGCTGTAGCGCTTTCCTTGCATTTATTATAGCTGAATCACAATCTTTCAAGAGAGACTGTAAGCAGGACAAATTGTGCAAGGCTTGCGCTACGGCTACTTGCTTCCAAGTCCGGGTAAGGCGCCTAAGTTTGATAAACTCCCTCAAGCATTCAGCGGCTTTACTAAATTCGTTTTTAGATTTGTAAAAGCAACTGAGAAAACTGAGTAGACGGCACAAATCCTCGACAACCTGTTGATGCTCTACACTGTTTACTACTCCAACCCTGTCAGATGGCGTTGGGGGGCGCTTAGATGACCTCAACCTTATGGAAGTTCGTTTTCGCACAGCCGTCTTGCCATTTCTCAATTCTTTCTCAAATCTCTTGAGGGATAAAACCGCTAACCAACATAGGCCGATACCTGGGCTGCGCGTCTCACGATAGTTAAACTGATTAACTAGTTCCATAAAGCAGTTTAACCTTTGAGATCGCTCGTTTGAACGGACGAACTCATCCACTTGCTCTTCTAAAGTCCCTTCATTATCAATTACAGGACATTCTTTTGTAGGGGCCTTAAGTTTTAGGGTTTTCATGCATTGTTTGATAGTTTCTTTGTCAAGATCACTCAGCTGCCATTCCGTGTGCATATCGATATTCACTTTCGGTGATTTTCCACGTCCTGTGCTTACTTTCGACTTTCTTTGTACCGGACTACTCATGGTGACCTTTTTGGTCTCTTTGGCATTATCGTCCAGCATCAAGTGTTTTAGCTCCAACAAAGAAAGCTTTGCACTGTTGGAAGAATTCCTGTCAGTAATTTTCTTTGTTTTAACGGTGGAGTTGCTCTCAGAGCCTTCTGTCAAATGTTCTGACTCCCCGGACATAGAATCTTGTGAATAATTCTTGATTTGTTCATTGTTTCCACCCTCCTTCAAGCTTTCATTGTTCTCGTGGTTCCCATCCAGCGTATCAGTCAGCGAATGTTTCAAAGCTGTATTAATCCTACAGATGTATGGCAATTTTGGGTGCATTCGAGCCAGTAAATCCTCAACTTGTACACCATGGTTCTGAGGTGATTCCGTCGCACTTGACAGTCCGCACCATTCCATCGGCAAACTGTATTCATTCCAACTTCTACGCTGATTGTAGACGAATGCTGTGTGAGCAATTTTACGTCTTAGTGTTTTACTCTGCTTCTCTTCTTGTTCGGTCTTTTGTTCTAAATATTGTAATTCGTTACACAACCATTGGTGCTCCTCTTTTAGACGCTCAAAGCGCATCAGCGTTTTTGTAATGTTACCTTCCAATATTTTCCTATAAGCAACTGCGTGGCGAATAAGTTCAAGCTCTGTCCGTGCTGATTCCAGTAGAGTTGAATTTTCCGAAATTAATTTCAATTTTTCTTGCAGGACCCTCCTACTAAATTCTTCCTCTGTAGCAACAATTGCTATGTTGGAAACGCTATCACCCAGCTCTTTCATGTAATTGCTCTTGATCTTAAACATATTGCCTTCGAGTTCCTTGAGGGTGTAATTTAGTAGATATTCGCCCGCATTAAGTTGGCCTTGAGGCCGTGCTTTCCCTACAGCCATGATCCGCTGACAGGCAAGGTATGTAACTCCGGATCGATGAGGCACGTGATCCGGCATTTCGAATCCTGGTCAACTCACAAGTGGCTGTCTAGCTTCAGTTACACAGTTGTGAGATGCTTTGTCCATTGTCACAGCCAGAACCACAGCAAGTTTGTTGAGCCTGAGGATCGTCTAGCGCTGAGCTAAATAAATTAAAGCTGGCTTTGGCGTTCTGTCGTGTATGCCAAACTCTTTGTTAACGGTTGATGAATTTCGGCTATCACAACAATGAATCACACTTCAAACAAATTGCTGATGCTCTGGCCACCGCAGAGGATAATCAACGGTGCCCTATCTGCTGCATCGAGCAGGGTGGATAGGGGTTTGGATGCTACTGCTCAAGCCTTCCCGTCTTCTTATTCCCCATCTTACGCTTTTTCACTCTTACCGTCCCCTTCCAACTTCACTTATATCCCCCCAGTTTTCAACCCCCCGATTCTTGGCCCTCCCCCAACATGCTTTGCTAGGCATTTATCTTCTAGTTTCAACTCACATGTGAACGCGAAGCGTCACTCCTCTCCTGTCGACAAGCCCATGTCCAACCAAGCGGTCCATTCCAGTTCATCGGCTTCCATTTGGAGCCCTCGATTTTCCTTCAGATTAGCATGCCTTAATGTACGCACACTACTACAGATCGGTCAACATGCAGCACTTGCCCGAACATTGGAGACCCTCTCGATCGATATCTGCTGCTTATCAGAGACCCGCCTGCAAGACTCGAGCTCTGTGCTCACTCTGCGATCCCCTTCAGGTGGCGCAAACAGTATTTTCTCATTGCACCTATCCGGTGACGATGCAGCTTCGAGCACCGGCCAAGCTGGTGTTGGCATTGCTCTGAGTCCCCGGGCTGAAGCTGCTCTGGTTGATTGGATTCCAATCAGTAGCCGGATGTGTGCGGTCCGATTGGCTGGCTCCTCTAAAGCTTCGAAGTCGCGCGGGAATAATAGATGTCTATTCATCATCGCTGCCTACGCGCCCACAAACTGTAGCGATGATTCGGTAAAGAACGACTTCTACCGCCAACTGACCCAGCTCCTTCGCCACAGAAAAAGCACGCACACTGTTGTTCTGGCGGGGGATATGAACGCACAAGTTGGAAAGTTGTCCACTGATGAAATGCATCTGGGCGGTCAGCACGGTGTAGGCTCCCGTAATGATAACGGTGAGCGGTTACTTCATTTGTGTGAAGATGCTCGCTTATTTCTTGCGAGCACTAATTCCCGACACAGCACCCGCCGGAGGGTGACTTGGCGCCCACCAGCCTCGAACCAGCCTTGGACGCAGATCGATCACATTGCTATTAGTTACCGCTGGAGAGGCTGCACCCAGAATTGTCGCTCGATTTGGAGCACATGTGTGGACACCTATCATGCACTTGTATGTGCTGACATGCGGATGCGTTTTGGCGGACGCCCACGACGACGCTGTGAGCGCATTGACACCAGCCAAATGACAAAGCCAGCTGTTCTGAATGCGTATCGATGTACGCTGACATGCGAGTTGAGTACTCGCTCACTGGAGACAATTAATGGTCACTGGTCACATGTTCGCCAGACCTTACTAGCAGCGGGCAAATCCTCATGTGGTATGTCTAAAAGCCCACATGGACATTGGGTCTCTTCTCGGTCTCTGGAACTTATCGACGCTCACCGGCATATCCAGGCTGGAAGCGAACACAATGAAACTCGCAAAGAGCTCCGGGCAAAACTCCGTGTTAGCCTGAAGAGAGACCGCGAATCTTGGTGGTCTCATCGTGCGTCAGAGATGGAAGTGGCCGCTGCACTTGGCAACCATCGTAAGTTATTCCGTCTGATACGGGAAACGGGCAGCAGGAGACCTGGTGTTAGTGAAACAATTTGTGATGAGAGTGGACAGCCTATCCACAATTTGTCAAAACGTTTGGAGCGTTGGGCTGAGCATTTTGAAAAGCAATTTAATCGGCTAGAATTGTCCGATTTGCCGGTCACTGATCGCCCTGCTCCGTGGGCTGTCCCTTTGGATCCACCCTCTCGCTCAGAAGTCGAACGTGAGATCGGACTGTTGAAGTTGAACAAAGCCGATGGACCAGATGATCTTCCTCCAGCTCTCTTCAAATTCGGAGGCCCTGCTCTTGTGGATGCTTTGCATGAATTACTAGTGAAACTGTGGGAGCAGGAGACTGTCCCAACCGACTGGAGCCGCTCCGTTATTGTTCCCATCTTCAAAGGCGGCTCGCGCTCAGAATGCGGCAACCATAGAGGAATCAGTCTGATCTCCATCGCCACCAAATTACTCGCCTCCATAATTCTTCACAGACTGACTGGCGCTCGTGAAAGCCAGATTCGTGAAGAGCAAGCCGGGTTTCGTCGAGGTCTTTGCTGCATCGACCACATCTTCACTTTGCGTCAGTTGTTGGAGCACCGCCACACATATTGGCGGCCCATCCTAGTCGTGTTCCTCGACATCAAAGGTGCCTTTGATTCGGTTGATCGATGTGCCCTTTGGAATTGTCTACTCAGGAAAGGTGTGCCCGAGAAATATGTAAATATTATCCAAGCATTATATTTGCGTAGCACGGGCAGAGTGAGGGCTTACGGCAAGCTGTCGCCACCCTTTAATATCTCCAGCGGTGTGAGACAAGGATGCCCGCTGTCACCTTTCCTCTTCAACTTCGCTATTGACGAAGTTATGGAGTTTGCATTTACAGGACATGACTTGGAAGGTGTGGAGCTACTCCCAGGAGAACGACTTCTTGACTTGGAGTATGCTGACGACATTGCCCTCATCTGTGACAGCTCCCAGACGTGCCAAGCCGCGCTAGACAGATTAGCACTGGCTGTCAGCCGCTTCGGGCTTTGCTTTGCACCATCGAAGTGCAAAGCGCTCCTCCAAGATTGGCAGGGATCGCCACCTGCGCTGACCCTTGGTGGGGATCAGCTAGAAGTCGTTCAGAAATTCAATTACCTGGGAAGTTGTATCAGCGCCCTTGGGATCGAAGACGAGATCACGAACCGTATAGCGAAAGCTCGAAGTGCTTTTGCTAACCTTCGCCACCTTTGGCGGCGGCGCGACATCACTCTCGCCCTGAAGGGTAGAGTGTAAAATGCAGCGGTACGTTCGACCTTACTGTACGGTTGCGAAACCTGGCCCCTAAGATCGGCGGACATGAAGAGGCTACTTACTTTTGACCATCGGTGCCTTCGCAGTTTGGCTCACATCTGGTGGGAACACCGCGTGAGTAACGAGCGTGTTCGACGCCTTGTTTACGGCCTAGGAAAAGGGACTGAACCGCTCAGCACCGTCATTTCACTCACCAGGCTCCGATGGCTCGGCCACGTGTTGCGCATGCCAGCCCACCGACTCCCTCGACGTGCGTTGTTTGCTCACCGGGGATGTGGGTGGAAGAAGAGGAGAGGTGGCCAAGCGATGACTTGGTCCAGGGGAATGAAGTCCCTCACCTCGGAGCTAGCCTCGGTTGGAGCTTCACGGCTCCCTGGTTGGGGTCCAAAAGACGGTAAACACGTTTGGCTGGATACACTTGCTGACATGGCAAGGAGGCGACCTCAGTGGCGTTCTTGCTGTGAGTTTCTTTGTCCCTCCCCATCCCTTTTAGCCTCCCCATCCATCTACGATCTCATTTCCTAGGGTAAAACATAATATTTTTTTCTTTTTGCCTAGTAGCTAGCTGGAAGCTTACCGGAACGATGCCTATCCGTTGCTGGTAGCTCGGCTGGCATGCAACTGTTGTATCTACTTCTCCTTTGTGTATTGTATTGTATGTATTTATGTATTTCCTTCATGTATTGCGGCACAATAGCGGAGGTGTTTTTCCACCTCTAGCTGATGTGTATAATGATGATGATGATGTAGCTAATAAATGTTGCTGCGCACAGTTTTCTGACCTCCAACCACATACAATAATATACATTGCTTGATTATGGATTGTAACTTTATCCACTACTTCACAAATATCGGCCTTAATGGCAACGAAGTGTAGAACAAGTGAACTGCAGATAATGCTACAAAGAAGATAGAAGAGTTCAATATTTTTGGTATGAAAAGATGGTAACGCACCTATGCAGCTCTTTCGCCCTAGATAACGCGATTGCTCATTTGTCCATCAGAAATTCTTGCAATAAAACCAACTTACCAATGTTTACCAATGTGATAGATGATTGGGTTTGCATAAAAGTACACTTTGCGGACGTCTCAGCGGTATTAATGCCAACGGCGTGCCAGGATCATGGACCGTTTTGATTGAGTACAAACCTATGCTAGCTAAAGTTGAAGCGAGATAAATTGTGACTTGTTGCGTTGACTTCCACTGCACACGGCCTCGTACTTTTGGGGGAATTTAAAGCTAGGCGAATATGGTTGGTATGGTTAAGCAGCTAGTTACCTGCTCTTGGGGCTGTTCACACCTTCCTTCCTCCTGTGTTATCAACGCTTGCCTTCAACAGAGCGAAGTGAACGATCGGGACTTCCATCAGTTAGATCTACATAGTAGTGTCCTCTTGCACCATCAGGTAACTGCGCACAATGATTTTACGTCTACATATTCAAGGCTTGACTACAGCTGTGCTAAACCTTCTTCCAAGGCGACTACGGTCAAATACGATTAGAAACATCAAGAAATTGATCACGGTATTCGGGCCATCGCAGTGATTGGCCCTTAACATAGTGCGACCGTTTGTGCATTACTTCGACCCCTTGAGCTATAGCAGTCGATGCACCCGGGTCCCTTGAGAACCAGTCCTACCAGGTTGATCAGCGGTTACTCGTCGGACACATTCACTCTTCTAGTTCTCCAAGTTGAGCGTTGGATATGGGATGGCGGCAAATTCCTTAAAACCGAATCGATACAACTTTACGCTGCTTTGTGCATAGCAGTTTGAGCCACAGTAGTAGTAGTAGTAGTAGTAGTCGTAGTAGTAGTAGTAGTAGTAGTAGTTGTTGTTGTTGTTGTTGTTGTTGTTGTACGGTCAGCAATCTATCAAATACTCATAGAGCCAAACCTAACCATGGAAATCATTAAAGGAAGACAGATTGAA